AGCTCGTTTCAGCTCACTTTTGGTTTCAGCTCACAGGTCAAAAATGTTTATGGTTTGAATATGTAGGGTTGTTGGCTTAGGGTTAATGTTTTGAAAATAGAGGGAAATTATTTTTTCCTTTCGAATGCTCGTGACAATAAATATCAAGTAATGTTTCACAAGATCTGTCAAATTTCCTGCAAGCATCAAAAATAATTCATGCATTTCTAGGATCATGGGTGCAGAACTGGTAGCCTACACTACTAGAAAAACAGCCTTTTACGACGCTCATTGCGCGTTGTAAAAGGCTCAGACGACGCGCAAATGCACGTCAAGGAAGGCCCTGTCATAAAGAGAGACGATGCGTTTTTGCGCATCGTCTATAGATGACGCGCATTTACGACGTGCAATTACGACGCGCGTTTACGACACACAATGCGTATCAAGGAAGGCCCTGTCATAAAGGAAGACGACACGCATTCGCGTGTCATAACCTTACGACGCGTGTGTTAATGACACGCAATGCGTATCAAGAAATCCCCTGTCAAGAAAGGCCATGTCATAAATGAAGATGACACACATTTTTGCGTATCATAATTTTAAATGTTTAAAAAAAATATTATTGATAGATTTACTAATTTTCAAATTAAATAATGCATTAAAAATCTCATAATACAAAATAAAATATCATAAATAAAAAAGATAATTTATTTCACTAATATGTCAAATACAAATAATTATTCCAATAGTGAGTAAAGGTTATAAAAAAATGAACTCATCTATATACAATTGCATTATCTAGCTTACTATGTGCCAACAACTCTCTGTGTGTTTACTTTTGCTTGAGTCTCGTTTCCTCCAAAGCTTCTAGCCATGTCAAAATATGATATCTTAGGGTTCATGTCCAAATCAAGTAAAACATTGCTAGCTTAAATTCATTAAGTCCTTGGCGTGAAGTATTAGATAGAAGCTTAACTGCAATCTCCAATCCTTCTAGCAGACCCTAAAGATCATTATTGGCCATGTAGCAAGATTAACCTGCAATCTCTTTTCTGCCTTCTTATTACTTGCAGCATCTTCTGCCTGTTTGACCAAGGCTATGCCTTCAGCAGCAACATGTTGCATTACGTCAAAAAGATAAAAACAGATGACAACAAATACAAATAACTAGAAGCCAAGGGTAAAAGAATAGAACACAAAAAGAAGAGGAAACAACTCCTTGGCTTCCCCTCCATTTAAATTTTAATGTTTTGAAACACATATGAATTATGTACCTGCATTGTAAGAAGCATCTCAATGACCCTTGCCAATCATTGCAAGCATTCGCAAAAAGTAATGATTGCAGTATGATCCTGCACAATCAAGGAAACAACAAGGTATGCAAGCTTATCAAATCTTTCAGATCTAAGAAAAAGTGGAAATAAAATTAAATGAGAGCGCAATGTCAATCACACTTACAATTAATGAAGGCTGAATCATCACAGTTTCATTTGTTATGCTTTCTCTATTTAACATCATTCGAAAATAAGTAGTTTGATCTGGACTATCATTAAACACCTGCCAACATTTCATAAAATTAAGAACATATAACAAAAGGGAAATTCGGTAAATTAACAACTTTTTACCTGAACAAACTGTGATCTTCGAAGACTGAACATGAATTGAGGGAACAATGAGAAACTAGGGTATAAAGAAAATGAAGAACGGTCATCTTTTCTATAGTCCCCAAATTTGGAACATAGACGAATTAGGTTTCTATCTATACACCTTGTTGCATCAAATGATTCCTGAAAAGGGTGATTCTGTAAATAAAATTTATATATTTGATTTGTGCAAAAAGTACTAGAAAGAAAAGTGCAAATTCACCTCCATTTCCATTTTATAAGAAGTTAATCTAGCTACTACTACAACAACAATCTCTTGATCAAAACCTTGCATTAATTCCTGTTAAAGAAAAGGGTAATTAAGTCTTTTTCCCAAATAAAGAAAAGGGTTTTACTATTTTTTTACCTCTGAAAGAACAGCACTCTCGACCATGGCAGCAAGGGCATAAGCAGAAATTCTCAAATGGAGTTGCGAGCTTACCATGGAATCTCTCTGCTACTGCTTTTCCAGATGTTGTTGCCAGCAAGAAATCTATATATTTGATCATTGCATGATCTAAAATATTCCCTATTGGAAGTTCAAAGCACCATTCCTACATTAATAAGTATTCAACAAATTAAATTTTTTTATACTGTTGATATTCTAGACTAAGGCATTGGAATTCAGATGCCTACTAGGACAATTTATCAAAACATTGTCATATAATGTAGCCCAACGACTTCAAAACTCTATGAGTAGGTGGCCCACTCTTGAAAGTGCAAATTACAACCGATAACAGGGGCTCTGTTTGTACTTTTCATGGAATGAAAGGCTTCAGGTCCTCTCCAGGCCCTCTGATGAACCCACTGCATCAATAAATTTAAAAAAAAAACTCTTTCAATGATGAGGATGAGGTATATGTTATATTGATAGGATATGATAAGTCATTTTTAATTATTATGCATTATGCAAAGAATGAAAATGAGTGGCATACATTAATGAGGGGGTTATGATTGTAGCCCTTTTAACATCATATATGCGATGAGATATAAAGGTAGGTGGAAAATAGATTGGGTCTTCCCTTTAAAACAACAAAAAAAATATAGTTTCCTCTAGAGGCAAGAAGAGACCCGGACCATATGAGAAAGCAAGCAATCATATAAAGACAACATGCACCAACAGACAACAGTGTGCCCACTCTTATATTAAAGAAGTTTCTTTCGGCTCATTAGTTGCCCATCACTTACATCATCCCTGCAAATAAAAAACAAAGTGAAGATTTAGTTTTTTTTCATTAATTGTACCACTTGAAATTGTATTTATATATACCTGTAGAATATGATCCCCATTGGTTTTTTCCCTGTTGCCTTCTCAAAAGATAGTAAAAGCAACAACAGATTGGACAAACCTGAACACATAAACATTGATAATTAGTAGAAGCTAGGATACATGTTGATAAGAGAGTTAACCACCTTTTGTGAGAATTAATTAAGAAGCTAGCCTTTTGGCCTTGATTTGTCCCTGTAAAACAAATAGTTAGTTCACATCAAAGACTCGAGCTCTCATCCAAGAAAACCAATCTTGATTTCTACTTTTATTTATCTGAATATTTAAGATACAATTTTCTTGAAATTTAAAAAGAAAAAGGTAATAACAAAGACAGAAACTTACCTTCAACAAAGTGTCTAGCTTGTTAAAAAGATTGACCATTTTTGAATTTCCTCGGTGGCATTAAGACAAGGATTTTTTGATGCAGCTGCTTCAAATCCACTGAGGGCCCTTTCGTAATTTTCCAGATATGTATTCACAGTAGCAGAATTGAAATATAAGTTTGGGTTTGACTTCATGCTTTTATCTTTCTCCTGTGACATCATGAAAGAAACAACATTAGATAAAAGTTGACTTTTTCAAGTCAAATCTACAAAGTAGATTTCCAACATATAACATTTTGGTATGCTTTTAAAGACTGATGTAATTTGCTGTGATCCCATGCCCCCGTGACAAAGAAACATGTAAAACAAGCATTCCCCAAGTTGTCTGTTGGAAGAACAGAAAGGATAAAATCGTCAATACACATAAATTCTTATGTGTTGATGATAAATTATGCAATAAACTTACACCATGAATTCCCATCCCTGACATCTAAAGCAATAGCTTCCTTTGCGTGTTTTATGCTTTCAACGACAATTTCCTCTTGATTATTAGCACCTAAAGATTTATAAAAAAAAATGTTTAGATTTAAAAAACTATATATATATATATATATATATATATATATATATATATATATATATATATATCTATACCATTATATAAACCATTCATAATTATGGGGCCGATTCATTTTAAGACATTTATCTTAAAATTCAAGGAGAAGAAATCTGGACCATCAAATATGTATTGGATGGTGAGGATTTGACTCCTGGTGATCCATGTGAATGGCTTTCAACCAATGAGACGAGAGAGTTTAATATTTACTCTAAGAGACAAACACGCACACACAAATAAAAGCAACACATAAAGGGGTGCCATAATTTACTCCAGTCCCTAAGATTTCATTAGATCTCCTTCCCGCCGCTACTGAAATGTTGAGCACTTTCCCCAAACCCTCCTCCTTCTCTCAGCAACTATTGAACCCTCCGAAATCTACGTCGTCGCCACCATCTACAATGCCACTTTTGGATATGGTGTTTTACATCTTATTAACAGGAGTAAATCTCAAGCAGTCAAGACCCTAAGCACGTTTTCTCCATCAACCACCACTCTCGAAATCTTCTAGCCACCAGATCTAGGTTAGAACAAAATTTATAGCGACTCTCTACCCTGTATTCTAATATTATTTAATAACTTAGTTATTTTTGTTTTCGTTGCTCAACACCAGGTCAAATTTGTATATTTATTGTGTGTTTCTTATTCTTGATTTCTAACAGTAAGGGATATTTTAGGGGGGAATTTGGAAGGAAGAAGAAGGTAATGGTAAAAAAATGCTTAGCCAAAGGTATCTTTTTATGATTTTCCAGGAAAAATCTCAGGTCCTCTCTTCTACTCTTTCCCTTCTGAAATATCGTGCTCATTTACACAGAATCTCAGGATCTGAGTTCGTTCCCTTTACATCAATGTTTATTTTTTGGTTATATACCTTGAATCCATGACAATAATTTGTATTTTATGAGAGGGAATGTTAAGCGGGGGATTGTTTGACCTCAAGAAACATGAAAGCGGATACCTCATTCTTAAGGTAAACAAATACGTGAATGTAATTGGTTGATCCTTTTATAACAAATTTTGTTATTCTTATGATTTTTTCTTGAAAACCAGGTTCAGATCGGACCTTCGTGACAGTGAGAGCAAATGAATTAGTAGGATTTAGTTAAGATTTCATTTGGATATATATTTGTATTTTGTATTATTTACATGCTTTTCTGGTTAAAGTTGTGATGATAATTTCTCTCTATGCATTATATGTACACTTAGCTATAAATCAATGATGGTTTATGTTGATGTAGATCTCAAATATGTGGAGAATATTGGATGGATATGTATGATTTTTTTTTTAAGTATGAAAAGTTATATATATGATTATGTAAATATATTTGTTGTCTTTTTGAAGAAAACTATATGTATTCGGTTAGTATGTAAAGTTATTTGTCTAATAATTATTTGTGTCAAAATGGTATGGAAAATGCTTCTTTCGGTTGGACAAAAATGACAAATGTTTAGTTATAAGCTCATATGTTAAAAGGGACGTATGGTTGAGATTAGTACATCTTGATGCATGTGCTAAATTGGTATGGAAAAGAAAATAATGCTTCATTCAAATTCGATACTTGTTATTGGTTGGAATGTTTGGATTATCAAGGTTTTTGTGGTGGAAGAATAAAAGATGGCGTGTTATGGTGGAAGAATGGAAGATGGTGTTATCATTATTAATATTTTGATACTGTGTAGCAAATTCATTATGCAATATTTTTAAACTAGATTTTGATCTATCTTTTTAGCTTCAACTCTCATTCATTGCATTACTTAAACAGTTAACTACAAAATCTGTATGATATATAATAATTTGTTGTTGGAATTGGAATTTGTTGTGTGTTATGGTGTACTGATGATCACTTTGTTCTAAATCTATTTGTATGATTAGTTGTATTGTAGTTGGATGTTGATGATAAGTTTACTCTAATTTGATTTGTTTTAGATTTTTTTGTTGTATGTTATAGCAAATAGAGGGATTATAGTCAACATGAAAAATTAAATTCAAGAAAAGAAAAAAATAATATATTTCTTTACTTTAAGATAGCATAAAAAGAAAGGACTTTTTTGAAATTGTAACCGAAAAAACACAAAGGCTAAAGTAAAAAAATTAGAAAAGGATAGAATGGGAAAAATATTTTTGTTCACGTTTATCACCTATAACCACAACTAAGTATTTCCAATGTGAAATTTAAATTATACCATGACTTTACGGTGGAATATGAATGATAGAAAAAGTCAAATACGAATTTCCAATGTAAAAAGTTTATTTGACTTCTTATTTAGTTGTTATTTTGAGGTTGGGTTTTCATTATAGTAGTTTGTTTTTATTCTTTTATAGTGGTATAGTTATTATTTCAATATTTATAAAAAATATACGTGTATACTTTTCAATTTAGTTTCTCCATGAATAAAAAAACTTAGTACATTTTTTTTGGACATTTTGAAGTTATTCCACATTCACAACATCGAAAAACAAATAAAATTTAATTTTAATTTAAAACAAGTGCTATTTTTATCCAAAACAAAAAATACAACTTCATTTTTATCCAAAACAAAATGTACATTAGTTTTTAACTTAAAACAAAAACATAATAATAATAATAATAATAATAATAATATTATTATTATTATTATTATTATTATTATTTTAATCCAAAATATCAACATATGTTCATTTTTAACACAAAACAATAACATATTTCTATTCTTAAACAAACCAACAACATATTTAACTCAAACAATAAAACACTTTTATTTTTAAACCAAAAATACAACTACTCATTTTAACCCAAAAAACCAATGGAACTTTGTTTTTAAATCAAATAGCAATGTACTTTTGTTTTAACATGAAACAGTCAGCTAAAAATAATTGATCGCCGTTTGAAAACTAATTGTCGAACGAAAGCATTGTCGCGCTGCATCGCGCGGGTACTCTACTAGTATATATATATATATATATATAAAATATATATATATATATATATATATATATATATATATATATATATATATATATATAAAATAAACAACAACCACACTGGATAAAACATGAACTGTTTCTTGCCTTGAGCCATTCGTCTTTCAAGCATTGATAATTAGCTAAGTATCCTCTTGTTTAGACCCTGTATTACCATTAAAATGAAAAATATTGGATGTTTATTAAGTGAATACTAGTAAGAATTTATAAGAATATATACAAGTGAAGTGATAATCAACCTTGCTTAGAGCAAGGGTTAAACAGTTTCTTGTAG